AATCACGTGATTCCAATCCGGATGGCAGAGTGATAAAGGAAACCCCACACACACACTCACCCACACACATACCCTCACCCACACACATACCCTCACCCACACACATACCCTCACCCACACACATACCCTCATCCACACACATTCCTTACGCACACACACATATCCTCTTTCACACACCCAGCTAAGAAAATCATTGGTGTATTGTTTGTGCTTCGTCTTCTATTCCCCGATAACAATTTTCTGAGGCCCCTGTAGATTATGAGACCCTAAGCCGCAGCTTATTATGCCTAAATCCAGCTCTGATGGGGTTACATGACCAATGTTCTCATCGTATGTATTTAACATGCTTGTCCCCAAGTCCATGGTTAAGCACCAGCAAGGAGATCAAATTTAGAATTTTGAGAGCATGCATCTTCCCTGTCGCTATATACGGATGTGAGTTGTGGACTGTCTCTCAGTCCTTAAGAAAGAGCATAAGGGTTTTTGAGCTGAAATGCTATAGAAAGATTCTCAGAATATCTTGGACAAAAGAGATGAGAAATATTCACATCTTAAAAGATCTGAACATCAAGGAAGATTGGCTAATAAACAGCATCCTTTCTCGAAAGCTGAAATGTTTTGGTCATATCAAGCGCCACGACGGATTGGAAAAATATAGCAGAAGGCATGGTACCAGGAAGGAGGAGCAGGGGCTGACCGACACGAAGATGGGCACAGAATATAGGTTACTCCTTGAGTATGAAAGTGCATGAGGCGGGAGAACTGGCGAGAGACCGAGTTTCATTTAGGCAGACTGTGATGGGAGCGACGTTCTGCAAAGGACCTGCTACATGATGATGATGATGTCCCCAAGACTTTCAGCTCTTAATCCAAACTGCGATAAAATGTCACCGCTACCCTTGTTCTCTTCATTTCCCTGCGTGCCTCCCTTCTGATGACAACAAAGCCTGCTATCACTAACACGTCTGCCATGGTAATTCCCACTTTCAGACTTACATCAAATTGGCTCCATAATTTCACAAATAGCTACCTACACAGCAGCGCCATGTCGACTTAGCAACGCCAATTTAGGAAATTGGCGGCCATGTTAATGGGCAATTTCTCTCTCTCTCTCTCTCTCTCTCTCTCTCTCTCTCTCTCTCTCTCTCTCTCTCTCTCTCTCTCTCTCTCTCTCTCTCTCTCTCTCTCTCTCTCTCTCTCTCTCTCTCTCTCTCTCTCTCACGGTATGTGTAAATTGCAAAATTGGGCAGTTTACTTTTGATAACCTGTGTTTATTTTCAAAACTTTCGTTGCTGTCACGTACATGGGAAAAGGGAATAAGGGAAAAGATGTGGACTGGAGTATATTCTCATTCACAGCATAATGTTGTTAGGTGACCAGTACCTTTTCTAAGGCATTTCCTTTCTGCCTAATACTGAATATTATCGGGTAATGTTTTATGTACTTTTGAGAAAATATTAGATTTTAAAGTTAAAGTCGGTTGCACCCACTGCATCCACGGTTCATGGATCCTTGGGGGGGGGGGGTATATCCACTGCCCCTTCAACAAGCATGCCATACCAGGCGACTGTGTAACGCTTTGTAGAAATCTCATGTTTGAACCGAAAGTTCTTCTGGCTCAGTGGTTTCGAGCCTTTTTCATGTGTTACCCTTTTTAGTATATGTCACACCCATCCCACCCCTCTCCCCACAACCAACATAACAAAATCTGATGGTATGGTGCACGTAAATCTCCCCAAACAAAGTAGGTCACTTTTCATTCACAAGTTTATTGGGCTGGTCGACTTTCCTGAAGGTCACAGTTGTGTTCCCTCTCTGTTGTGTGCTTTCTGTGTTGTCTTGCATTAACGTTTTCATTCTGATAAAGAGAATGCCTGTGACATAGGTTGCAGCACTCTCTAGGGGGGTTGTGTTAGATCCAGTTTCTCCATGTTTTTGGAGTGTTAAAAGCGCTGGCGTGCTGAAATATACAACACGCTATATCAACGGCATTGCGGAACACCCCGGTAACCTTGTGTTAAGGTGACAGGTTCAGGAACTACAAATTGATGAGCTAGTGTGTATATGGGCGGGGCGTAGGAAGATTAACTTTACATATACGAAATCTGATTAAGAAGAGGAGGACAAAGATAAAAATCCCAGTACAGTTAACAAGAACTTAAAGAGAAAACGCACATAATTCAGTGTCGGATAACAACAAAAACAATCACCAACTGGTAATTTAATGTCCAGACATCAGCATGATGGTTGACGATGTTTTGTCTTGATAATATCTGCTATTTTTGGTCTGAAGTTGAGCAAGGCAGAGTCGAAATCAATCACTATTCATGTCGAGCTGGCAGCGCTATTTTGTTTTAATGATTGTTAAAGTTGAAAATCCAGATTGTAGTTACAATTTCAAAATTTCTTCACACCCCTTAAAACTTCACCAAGCCCCTCTAGGCGGCGGCCCCCCCCCCCCCCCCCGGTGGTTAAGCCGTTTCCTATGCTCTCTGAAGGTCATTGGTTTGGTTCACGGGTGCAGTTTTTACAGAGATCCCTGAGGATCGCCCCCGGTGGTAAAGTGTTCGTGCTTTGTGTCGCGCTTTTGGCAGGCGATTAGCCATTTTGCGAGAGAGAGAGAGAGAGAGAGAGAGTCAATGGTTTTGGAAAATACCCGGTGTGATGAAGTCGATTCTCTGGTATTTAATGACTTATCCTGCACTTGAGAAAAAAGTAAGGAGGCTGAATAGATGCGTTCTCTGATGTTGTTGGAACACGAGACAGCCATCAGGATCTATAGACAGCTAAGGAAAGTCAAATCATAAACATTCACGTATCAGGGATCCGTTTGTGTGTGAAATGGGACTGTTATAACCACTGGATCTTAACAAGCATGCCGCAAAAGGCGACTAATTAGGGTTTTGCGGAAGTCTGATGTGTTGGGTTCCAAAGGCACATATATCGTAGCCTAGCTGTCAGCCACAACAGTACGCTCCAACACTCCTTTTAATGACGAATGCAAAAAAGAGAAAAAAATATATACCTAACTGTTAGAAAAAGTCAGGTCGCTTTATTTGTTCTTGTGACTAGAAGAGAGAGAGAGAGAGAGAGAGAGAGAGAGAGAGAGAGAGAGAGAGAGTTGGAGAACATCGAGAGAAGAGAGAGAGGATCTAGAGCAACTGGGAGGAGAGCGCAAGAGAGGCATAACAAACAGGCTGAGGGGAAATGATCTTGGAAAGCTCTGAAGACGTAGCAAACTACTGGACGTAAATGTGCCTAGAAAAACCACACAACAGCGAGGGGCTGATGGGGTTGGTTCTGCAACGTCCTGTAAAGGATACGCAGCTAACCTAACCTGAAGACATAGAGAAGCGGTTCTCAACCAATGGGTTGCGACCCTTTTTGTGTCGCCAACAGCATCGCAAAACAAATATTCACTGAGGTTATAAAGTAGCCAAAAAAAAAATAACTGAATGGTTGGGGGTCGCCACAAAATGAGGAACTGTATTAAAGGGTCAGGGCAACAACTAGCATAGATGCATGTCATTAGATTTCATTCCGATCTCCAGAGACCAATATCTGCCGGGAGGCACGAGAGGATACACCTTCCGAGAAAGTATGATGATGATGTTGATAAATGTGATGATGATGATGATGATAATAATCTTTTCTCCTACTGGTTAAGCTGCCGTAACGGGGTCGCAGGGAGTGGTTAGATGTAGTTGTGTGCATTTTCCTGGCGCCATAGCTCGTGTAAGTGTCATATTGATGTTCGATATTGTCTGTTTATCTCTTTCTTAGTCGACCTCTTCTCTTGTAGCTTGCTGTTCTCATGTAATATGCTATTGCTGCTTGTTGATTTTCTTCCATTTTAACTAGATGACCAAACCAAGGTGATGATAATAAAGATGATGAAAATGACGATCACCCATTTTATGAGTCTGAATCGACCACATCGCTATTTTTTTTTTTTTTATTTCATTGCCATTTTTAGCGCTCCGGGTGTCAAGGGAGATATCAGGTTCTGCTTTTTGCTCTTATGGCCACCTCGACAATCGACACATCCTGCTGTTGTAGAGTTTCCCTGATGTTATCTCTCCATGTTGTTTTTGATCTACCTCGTGATCTACGCCTTTCTCTCCTTTTTGTGTATGTTTTGTTACGGTATAGCCTCATAATGCATTGTCTCTATCTGAGCAATACTGATTGGAAAACCCAAAATTGTATCACAAGTAAATATTGAGCAGAGACCGCTTACGGCGCAAGTAGGTCCGCAAACCTCTCTTGTTCAGCAATACCAGGTATTGATCAGCATTCACAGAAGGTAAAGTAGGGAGTAGATATATAACTATATTATTTATTGTACAATGAATTGATATTCATGGGTGGTGATTCTGGAGCTCAAGCACCTTTGTTTACTTTCAGGTTGCCTTCTGTGTCTACAAACTACACCGTCCGTTGATAATTGGCCACACTGAGACGCTATCAGTGCCATTTTGAATGGCACAGTCAACCATCTTGCTGTGGACAAGTAGCAGGGAAAGCTGAAGCTACTCTTCCATCAAAAGATATCAGGCACACGAAAAGTCGAAGCAGTCAACTGTATACTGTCACAAACGGTACGTGGACGTTGCGGGTAGAGATTCTTCATCAGCACATTATATAATTCTACACTATCACAAATATTAACAGGAATCGACAAAATAGCTTATCTGACGTATTTTCGATAAAAATCACATTATTGTTTCACCGGTAGAGTGAATGACACATGTGTGGCCACCGAAAATAAATAAGCACAGTGGAGTTCGTAGACATCTTCATTTTGGAGTCATCTAACAGACGTCTGGGAACCCTCAGCTAACGTTTTCGTCGTATATGAGGTGGTGCCATAGATCTTGCAGCCGGGCGCATCATTTTACTGGGATCAGAACCATTGTCTGCATCACGTGACCCCGAAGAATTGTGTCACGTGACCGTGAGCTCCGGCACGTGAATGCTACTGGGGGCCACAAATGACGATGTATTTTTGCCCCTGCTCATGTGATGACCCCATTGATCCTGAAACGGAAGAGAACTCATTCTTTACTCTGCCTAGAAATCTTTCCTACGTTCAGGACAGTTACCTGGATCGCTACAGCGTGAGCGCGCGTTTCGTGCACAATCCAAAAATAGAACGGTGTATTCAGCATCAACAAGATCGCGAGTGGAAGGCTAATGTAGAGGCCGAAACTTTGGGATTGTTGTCTACCATCACAGCACAGGAGTTGAGTGGTCGGTGTGACGGCGGTTTTGACACTCTATCTTCTTCAACATTTGACTTTTCACGTGTAGATACTTCACCTTCTGAAGCTGTGGTTTCGAGTTCGTCTGGTCATTTTACAGCAGGCTGGTCGGAGGGGCAGTCTTCTTCGTCCTGTTTCACAGCGTCTTCGTTCTTTCACCCTGCCTCCGTGGTCGCATCAAAAATTTCTGCATTTCTTCACTCCCCGCCGAATGAATCAATGGCGTCGGCAAGAGATATAGGGACAAGTGTGGACGGGGATAGCCTCCCTTTGATGTCTGAGGCGTCTGCCAAGGTGGGACCTTTGTTTGTGGAGTGTTCCCGTTACTCTGGCGATGATATGGATAGGGACAGTGTTTTGGAGAACTGTGCTTCTCATACAGTATTGAGATCTTCACCCACTGAGTTAGCTGGTCAGGTGGTTGGTACAACAGTTAAAGGTGAACATGATAATAACTTCGAAGATAGTGAGATAGCAATATCGTCAGGTAACTTCGATGACGATTTATTAGATGATACTGACAGCAACAGTTCTGACGCCCACAGTGTACCTCGCACAAATATGCAGGAAATATATAATGCCAAAGAGAATCCCGTTTTTACATCATCATTCGAGTCAAATGACTTCTGGTCCCAGAAACCTGATCATATTGGAGAGAAAATCCGGTTTCCTACAAAGAACACCAGTTCTGATAGCGAGAACCAAGAAATGATGTCCGAAAGTAATTCCCAATTCAGGAGTTTGAGAGATCCTTCGCTGACGCCATTGAATGTTTCAAGGAAGGATAATTTTTCTGAAGGGGATATAACTTCGAGAATGTACGAAGACGGCAGTTGTGGGAATGTTTTAAGTATCGGCGTGAGTGCCTTGTGTGGCTCGCCGGACTCTGATGCTTTCAGTGAAGAGGGCGTCTTTGTGAACACGGATGACCTGGACAGTACCCACGAGAAGTCCACTACAGTGAGCGACGCCAGCGATGACACGTTTATATCTGCTGATTCCATGTTTATGAGCCCAGACGAAGGAGAGTTAGAGGATGAGGACGACAGCGGAAAGGAACCGGTAGGGAAAATGTCAATACAAGAAGCTATTAGTCGTGCAGCCTCTGACCTCAATAAGATAAGCCTGGGTATTTATGGGTCAAGCCACTCCACATCCCTGTCTTCTATCACTACCTCTAACAGTTCACTTTCGGATGCTGGAACCGATCTTAGATTTCCACCTCGAATTGAGAAATCCCCAGGTAGAAGCTCTCCTGTTAGGACACACCCCGGACTTAAAATACAAATAGATGAAAGCTGTCTTGGTTCGCAGAGTCTCTTGACTGACTCCTCCCTGACGCTAACGGAGAGTCCAGTATACCCAGACGAAGAGTTTAACTTCAGCAGAGTTCAGCTTCGAAAAAGTTCATCGCTTAAAAGCAACAAAACTCCGCCTGGTACCCCACATCGGAAAAAAGTTGTACGTTTTGCCGACGCCATGGGACTGGATTTAGAATCAGTACGCCATGTTTTGAACATGGAGTCTCCGCCGAAAATTCCCGCTTCCGCCCTTGCCGATCTAATGAGAGGATTAGAGGAAGATAACTCTGAAGTTGGTTCCAAATATCTATGCCCCTGCTTCAGCCAACCCGGAGCAGCCGGGAATTTTATCACCAGAATTCTCAACCAGAAAGTGTGTTTGGAAAACGCTATAATTAATGACCTAACAATTACTGGCTTCGTCCGCGTGGCCAACATTGCGTTCCACAAAGCGGTTCGTATACGATACACACACAACGGCTGGAGCTCTTTCTATGACATAGCTGCAAGCTATGTGCAGAACTCTTGCGACGGTCCAACAGACCGCTTCTCCTTCAGCATCGTGGCGCCGCCATACTTCGGTCCTGGAAGTCGTCTGGAGTTTGCCGTCTGCTACATCGCCGAAGGAGTCGAGTACTGGGACAACAATGAGGGCAGAAACTATATATTCGAATGTTTTGCGAAGTCGATTCCCATGGACAGCGAGACGGCTTGGCTACATTTCTTATGAAAAATAAAAAGGCCCCTGTCAGTCATTGGCACCGTTAGTAGAGGTACCTTGAAATAGTTGCTGCATCCAAGGATTGAGCACGCATGGGAATGCCCAATGTGCAGTGACGTCAGTTGTGATAACATTACATAGCATACACTTCTTATAAACATATATTGATCAGAACAAGTTTAAGGGCAAACAGTAATAGGAATACAAAGAAATCTTAGCTGATAGGACATCCTTAAAGACATTGAAATAGCTAGACATTTTTTTTTTTTATTGAGGGACACTAAAAAAGTATGCATCACAGGAAGCCTGGGCTATACCGTTGTTGTAGGTATGCTGGGATCTGTATCGTTCACCTCTGATTGATGACAGAACCCGGCTGTAGGAACAAATTAAACTCGACAAAATTGTAGCAGTCCATACGTGGGTCCTAGAGCCCATTTGCGATCCATCATGATAGACCGACGGCTCACAAACAAACATAAATAAAAGGCGACTTATTATGGCTGTTTATTTCGCTGTCGGGGTGTAGGTGCCTGAGAGGCCAGGAGACAGTAGTATACATATAAATACAAAAAGGCAAATCTCTTACAGGGATGGGCAAGCAAATCTCAGATTTGGAACAAACCAGGAGCCCAGAAAAACAACCAGAACTTTCCGCTGGAGTTTACAGCCGATGACAGACAGGAAGAAGAGGAAGAAGAAGAAAAACTGCTAAAGTCAATGATTGTGCTTAAGTTAGCTACGAGTGATTCTGAGTTGTACAGATATGTGTGAATGTTTACTACATTGCTCGTTGAATAACGATTGGTCTAAAATTATAAGTCTGGTGCTGTATGCAATCCCGTGATCTTAAAAAGGTCTTTTACTAAAAGGGCAAATGCGGGTCTCACCAGATATTCATCAGATATATGAAAATGGCTCCCATGTCCGAAAAAATCTGGAACAGCTTCAGTCCTCCCCACCCCCGCCCACCCCTCTGTTGGGGACGGGGTATTAGACTTACGGTCTTCTTAGTCTTGTGGTTAGAGCCAATATTTCCATGAAAGAGGATGTGTTGACCAAAAGGCTCGATGCCTCAGCCACATTGCAACTTGCCAACCGTCGTTTTTAAGGCCAACGAAGAAGAAGAAGTAAAAAAAAAAGATATTCAAAAAACAAACACATGAGGAGGAAGAAGAAATTGAAGCTCTCACATTTAAATGCATGTTGCTTTTCCAAAACATGATTGAGTGTTATTTGTTGCCACATGAAAGATGCATCTTTTCCAAGCGTTTCCCTTTTTTTTTTTTTTTAAACCAGGGTTGTTTCCTAGGTTGTTAGTTCATTTGGAGGAGGGGAAGTGTTCAAAGTAAAGATTTAAACAAAGCAAGAGCAGGGAAAGCACTGCGCATTACTGCAATAAAAGCACTGGGCGTCACTGGGGGGAAGGAGAGAGCAAGGAAAATGACGTTAATGTTATTTACTGTTATTTATTTTTTTTAATGAATTGTTGACAAGTTTCTGTCACGTTAAAAAGAAGAACAAATGACAAACAAACATATTGGCAAGTTAGACGAAAGCAACAAACTGACAGACCAGTTATTGAGTTGCAGTTGACCTGTGACAGTCTAGTCTCAGCAGTATGTTGTATTGCAAGCAGACTAGAACTAACTTATGACAGATTAGAGCCGGGCAACAGACTAACTCATGACACATTTGATGAAAGCCACAGACTTAACTCATGACACATTTGATGAAAGCCACAGACTAACTCATGACACATTTGATGAAAGCCACATACTTAACTCATGACACATTTGATGAAAGCCACAGACTAACTCATGACACATTTGATGAAAGCCACAGACTTAACTCATGACACATTTGATGAAAGCCACAGACTAACTCATGACACATTTGATGGAAGCTAGAGACTAACTCATGACACATTTGATGGAAGCTAGAGACTAACTCATGACACATTTGATGGCAGCCAGAGACTAACTCATGACACATTTGATGGAAGCCACAGACTAACTCATGACACATTTGATGTAAGCCACAGACTAACTCATGACACATTAGATGGAAGCCACAGACTAACTCATGACACATTTGATGAAAGCCACAGACTAACTCATGACACATTTGATGGAAGCCACAGACTAACTCATGACACATTAGATAGAAGCCACAGACTAACTCATGACACATTTGATGGAAGCCACAGACTAACTCATGACACATTTCATAGGAAGCCACAGATTAACTCCTGACACATTTGGTGAAAGCCGCAGACACTCACACAAAGTTAAGCATAAATAGCACACTAGCCCATGAAAAACTACCTAGGCACAAGAGACCAAGGTACGATAAATCAAGTAGTCTCCCCCCCCCCCCCCCCCCCCCCCCCCCCCCCCCCCCCCAGTCCCCACCCCCCCCCCCCCCCCCCCCCCCCCAAGTCAGCCAACGACTAGCCAAACATAAACAACAGACTAACGTAAGTCACGCAACGTAGACGCAACAAAGCTATTTATTACATACAAACTATTCCAGTCTCTTGTTTCACCGGCCTTCTGAATATTAATTGCTGGAGAATTTGCATAGTCCAGCAGTTTCCTGTATGTTTACAATCACATGACACCTATACTTTTTATTATTATTAACAATCACGTGACACTGGTGTGTTACTATTGTTAGCAACGTCGAGATAAAATGTATTATTCTTAGAAACTAATGTGATATTTTCGTGAATATTTACACAATATGTAGATCTAGATTTGGTTGGCTTTATAATCTGATGTTTGAGGTAGTGATTTCACTGTTTTACTCAATCAACTGTTTGCATAATAAATGTGGACGGGTTGTTTTCTTGACGGAATGCCTCGTTTTTGTTGTTGTTGTTGTTGACAATATTTGTTGCTAATTGATTATGACATGTAAGCGTGTATGCCTGCTGTGTTTATTAACGTTTTTTTGTTTTCTGCCATAATAATGTATTGTATAGTGGTATTAATCTTTCATGCTTAGCCTTCTTCTTGTTCGTCTTTTTCTTCTTGTTCTTCTTCTTCTTCTTCTTCTTCTTCTTCTTCTTCTTCTTCTTCTTCTTCTTCTTCTTCTTCTTCTTCTTCTTCTTCTTCTTCTTCTTCTTCTTCTTCTTCTTCTTCTCCTCCTCCACCTCCTCCTCTTTCTTCTTCTTCTTCTTTTTTCTCCTTTGTCTTCTTCTTCTTCTTCTTCTTCTTCTTCTTCTTCTTCTTCTTCTTCTGCTTCTTCTTCTTCTTCTTTCCTCCTCCTCCTCCTCCTTCTTCTTCTTCTTCTTCTTCTTCTTCTTCTTCTTCTTCTTCTTCTTCTTCTTCTTCTTCTTCTTCTTCTTCTTCTTCTTCTTCTTCTTCTTCTTCGTCTTCTTCTTCTTCTTCTTTTTCTTCTTTCGTCAGCATTACCACTCTCATCATATCAGCATCGTCATGTTCTTTCTAGTTAATCTTTCTTTTCTTTTTTTTTTTTTATCTCCGCATTCTTCTTCTTCCTCCTGCTCCTTCCTCATCGTCGGTCTTCTTTTTCCTTTTGCTTTGATCTCTTCAGATGTACACTTCTCAACTGCCCCTTTCTCTCCAACCACTATCTCTCGCTCTCTCCATCCGCACCAACTTTCTTCCTATCTTCTCCCCCCTTTGCCCCAACCTTGCCAGTATAACCAGAAAAACATTCCGTTATTTATTCCTCGACCCCCTAGTGACCTCGACCTAGTTCTACTTTCCTGGTGAAGTTCATGGCCCAGTTGTCTGTCTGCCCCACTCACCCTCTGTACCTTCTGCTGCCTCCTTGGGTAGGCGTGGTGGTGGCACAGCATGTAGAGCATTAGCCTACCTAGTGCGTTGGTTGGTGTTCAAGAAATGGTCATTTGACCATATAATTTCGTAACCTTGTATATGCAATCGTCTTTCATTCAACCATTGTGTGGTCGTTTTTGCTATGAATTTGTCATTTATGCACTGAAGTGTGTTACAATAATAGTCGACGACGTTGAGGAAGAGATCTGGTCACCTCATTTCGTGTTTTTCCCCCCAGAATTCCACACGTCTACAATGGTTTCATATACAAATATGCCTTTAATATGTATCAGATTTGACTAGGCAGGGGCGAAACGAGGGAAGCAATCAATGGAGAGTGTATGTTGCTAAGGCTGTTGAAAGTTAACACCTGCACATATACACAGACCCTGAGTGAGAGAGAGAAAGAGGGGGGGGGTGGGGAGAGAGCGAAATAGTGACTGTGATTTCTCTGTGTGGGTTTCGGGGTCCCATTGTAGGGGAAACAAGAATTAAACCCCCTGCCCCAACAAGCATGACGTAGGAGTCCACTAATTAGGGATGTTTCTCCATAGCCCGAGCGCATCTGCCTCAGACGCGAGGAATCACCAGTCTGCCAAAAAAATCCAGATCTGTAAAACGGATGTACACGCAAAAGTCAGGTTATGGAGCAAGACTAAAATGGCCGAACAGCCAGCACTTTCTACCGAAATTTACAGCCGATTAAAAAGAAGAAGACCCAAAAGAAGAAGAAACTGTGATTGAAAGCTTTAAAAATGTGAGTTTGTTGGGCAGTTAAAACCACGTGGAGAGAGAGAGAGAGAGAGAGAGAGAGAGAGAGAGAGAGAGAGAGAGAGAGAAACATATAGCTTTAGACTTGTGTGTTGTAATTTCTTTCTTTATATCTGACATTAAAGATAGTACTTTTATAAACCTATTTCACAATCAAGCTGTGTTTGTTTTTCTCTCTAAATCTTTACTGACGTTTCTGTCTGTCCGCTAAAGTGTCTCCTGTCTGTCTGATGTCTGTCTAAGTCTTCGCTAACGTGTCTCCTGTCTGATGTCTGTCTAAGTCTTCGCTAACGTGTCTCCTGTCTGTCTGATGTCTGTCTAAGTCTTCGCTAACGTGTCTCCTGTCTGTCTGTTGTCTGTCTAAGCCTTCGCTAACGTGTCTCCTGTCTGTCTGATGTCTGTCAGTCTTCGCTAACGTGTCTCCTGTCT